TTGGGCTTTGCTTCCAGTAGGTGTGGTTTGGGCTTTGCTTCTGTGAAGACTGACAGCCTTGGAAACCCAAGGAGGGGTCGCTATGAGTCAGGTCCGACTCGACGGCACATAACAACAACAATGGTTAAGGGAGCTCTGGTGGCGTAGTGCCTAAGGCATCTGGCTGCTAACCAGATGGCTGGCAGTTCAAACCCATGAGCCACTCTTCAGAAGGAAGACTGGGCAATATATTTCTGTAGTAATACCACCTTGGAAACCCAAGGAGGGGTCGGTGTGAGTCAAATCAACTCAATGGCAGTGAGTTCGGCTTGGTAATGGTAATCGTGAGCATTTCTTCACATGTTTGCTGGCTGCCTGCCTGAGTATCTTCTATGGAAGATATTCTGGTCTTATCCTCGGCCCATTTTTTTTTAACTGCTTTGTCTGTCTTTTTGATGTTGAGGTACTGGAATTTTCTATAAATTTTGGAGATGAGTCCCTTGTCAGATACGTCATTGGCAGATATTTTTTCCTAATCTGTAGGTTCTCTTTTTACTCTCTTGCAGACATCTTTTTGATGCACCCAAGAATTTAATGTTCAGAAGGCCCCTGTCATCTAGTTTCTCTTCTGCTATTTGTGCATTTTCACTTATGTTTAGTAGTCTATTTATGCCATATATTAGGGTCCCTAAGTTTGCCTCTAGGAGCTCTGGTAGCATAGTGCCTAAGGCACTTGACTGCTCACCAGAAGGCTGGCGGTTCAAACCCACCAGCCACTCCTCAGAAGGAAGGTTGGGCAATCCTACTTCTGTAGTGATACTGCCTCGGAAACCCAAGGAGGAGTCGCTATGAGTCGGGGTTGACTCGATGGCAAATAACAACAACAACAACAAGTTTGCCTCTATTTTTTCTTTGATGAACTTCATAGTTTTAAGTTTTACATGTAAGCCTTTGATCCATCTGGAGTTAGTTTTTGTGTATGATGTGACCTATGGATCTTGTTTCATTTCTCTGCAAATGGATATCCAGTTTTACCAGCACCATTTGTTAAAGAGACTATCTCTTGCCCGTTTAATGGATTTTGGTCCTCTGTCAAAGATCAGCTGACCACAGACAGATGGATCTATTTCTGGGTTCTCAATTGGGCTCTAATCTTCACTGAGGCAGTAAAGGTCTTTTGCCAGGTCTTTCTCTCATGGGGCTGCTGCGTGGGCACAAATCACTGATGTTTGGATCAGCAACCAAGCACTTAACCACTGAACCACCAAACAAACAAAAAACTATTGCCGAAGAGTCAGTTCCAACTCCTATCCACCCCACAGGACAGAGCAGAACTGCCCCTCATAGGCTTTCCAAGGCTGTCATCTTTACAGAAGCAGACTGCCTCATCTTTCTCCCATGGAGCAGCTGGTGGGTTCAAACCACTAACCTTTCAGTTAGCAGCTGATCACTTAACCATTGCACCGTCAAGTCTTCTTTATTAAAACTCACCGTTGCTGTTAGTTGTTGTCAAGTTGGTTTCAACTCACAGCAATGCTACATACAATAAACAAAACACTGCCCGGTCCCACGTCATCCTCACAATCACAGCCACTGTGCCAGTCCATCGTGTTGAGGGTCTTCCCCTTTTTCACTGACCCTCCACTTTACCAAGCCTGAAGTCCTTCTGCAGGAATGGTCCCTTCTGACAACACACCCAAACTAGGTGGGACCAAGTCTGGCCATTCTGGCTTCCAAGGAGCGTTCCAGCTCTATTTCCTCTAAGATCTGTTTGTTCTTCTAGCAGTCCGTGATACGTTCGATATCCTTCACCAACACTCAATTCAAATGCATCAACTCTTCTTCAGTCTTCCTTACTTACCATCCAGCTCTCACATGCATATGAGGCAACTGAAAATACCATGGCTTGAGTTGGCACACCTTAGTCTTCAAAGTGACACCTTTGCTTTTAAACACTTTCAAGAGATCTTTTGCGGCAGATTTGTAATACGTCGTTGGATTTCTTGACCTGTTGCTTCCATGGGCGTTGATCATGGATTAAAACCTAGGCAACTGTTATTATTTATTCCACAGATGAATCATTAGATTATTCTTATTGATACAATTTTAAAAAAAAAGTACAAATGATCAATAACTCAATAATACACAGCACTAAACAACAATATTATGTATAAGATCAAAAGTCAGTAGTGAGTATGACTAGCACTGATACAGCTGGAGCAGACAATTATGCTTCTAAGCCAATAAAAACAACTGTTGATCGAGAGTATTACAAAGATAAAATACCCTGTTACTTTCCTGGTCTGGTGTGTATGAACGATTGCCGTGCCCATCTGCGTGTTCGGCCTGAGGAGCAGGGGACAATGGCAGGGTCCTAACTGCCTAACACACGTTCAGTTAGCACAGCACATTCGGGTGTGCAGTGCTGCCACAAATCACAGCACCTGACAGCTCCTGTGCATTTCACGGCTGCCAGGGTGCTTTCGAGTGAGCTTGCTTTCTGGGCTGGCTCAGCTGGCAGGGTGTAAGGCTCATGGCACCAAGTCAGGGGAGCCTGCCTGACAATGAGACTAAGCCAGGGCAGAACCAAGCTGAGAACCGGGAACAGAGAGACTTCACACAATGTTGTTTACGACTAGGATGCAGCCAGATGCAGCCCTGGACTGTTCAGTTATGAGATTCAATAAACTCTCTTTCTGCTCACGGCAGTACAAGTCGGTTTTTACCACTTGTGACTGAAAGAGAACTGTGTAGTATGAACAGGTCAGGTGGACTGCAAAGGGCAACAGCCAACACCAGAATTTTACACAAATCACACACACCTCCTGCATTTGTTTGCCAACCTCACCCTCCCTTCGCGAGGGACTTTCATAAGCGCCGCTATGGCAATATTTTTTCACGTGTTAAAAAAATTAGAATAGCATGCTTATGAAAATACCTCACAAAGGGAGGGTGAGGTTGGCAAACAAACTCTGAAGACGTGCACTGTTTGCGTAAAAATACAGTACTCCTTCTGGTATACCCACTTCCTAACAGGAGTGTTGGGATAATAAACCATGAATGTCTTCAGAAGTTGGTTTGGAACCTCAACACAACTACTTAACTACAACTACTTACTACCTCCGTGACCTCTGTGCTGGTTGTTAGTTGCCACTGAGCCAGTGCTGACTCCTGGTGACCCCCACATGAACACAGTAGAACTGCTCCAGAGGTTCCAGGCTGTGACCTTCCAGAAGCAAATCGCCAGGCCCGTCTTCTGAGGCACCCTGGGTGAGTTTGAACCAACAACCTTTCTGCTAATAGTCGTGTGCTTAACCATTTGTGCCAGGGTCTAGACAAGATGCTTAATGTACGTGAGCCTCAATCTCAGCCCCAAATATAGGGATGTTATTGATTCAGAGGGCTGTTTTCAGAGTTAAATCAGATCTTCCTGCAAAACCATTTGATAGCTTTGCCAGCACCTAGTTCTCAGCGGTAACAACAGTGCTGCTGTCCACCCCCGGGAACCGACTGAGATGAGACATGTGGAGCATCAGGATGCCGGCACCCAGGAGGGGACTCAGTACACACTCACCACAATGAAAATGAGCAGAGAATGACGACCGCCATCATCTGACTTGGCTAACATCGTTCTCTTTGCAGAAAAAGAACTAAATAGAAGGATTCAGACTAACTTCAGTGGCTTTTTTTTTTTAAACCACCACTTTCCCAGAAACCTAGAAAAACCTACCTAGCCAGAGGAACCCAACACGTGTCAGCGGATGGTTAGAGACAGTAAGGGAGCCAGGCAGTTTCTAGCACTCGCCCCACATTGTGGAACCTCTTCAATAATGTGAGGAATTCAAGTTCTCCAGGGACAGAGTTGATCCTGACCTCCTCCCTCTGACAGGCATGGGCACACAAACCACACAAACCCGCACCCCAGGACTCCAATGCTGAACTCACAGTGTTGGGAACGTAGGGTAAGCCGTAAAATTTCTCCTGTGTCTCCTTCAGGATGTCTGTGGTTGATCTCCTCAGGGGATGCCTCCCATGGTAGATCTGATCCAGAGCAGCGTAGAAGACCTGGGCAAGGAACACAGCCATTAACTTGTGGCACTCCACCCTCACAGGCTGCATGCGTAGCCCAGATGTCTCAGTGCACTAGAATGGTAACATAAATCAGCTGAAGACAACTGCAGATATAAATGTACACAGCTTAACACATTTCATCCAACATTTAGGACTGCATTAAGGGTTAAAGGGACTGTTCTCTACTTTTCCGTGATTAGGAGTATTAAAGGATGTTGAACTTTATCCAGTGGGAACTCTTTATGCACAATGTAGCAAATGATATTCCTAACCACAAGCCTGGAATTCTGACAACATACATGGAGTTGGAAATGTGACAAAATAAAGAGTTATAGCTTGCGACCCCCTGGAGTCTAGCAAATCCTGTCTGATTTCTTCCTGGAATTCTGATACATCTTAAGTGAGAGAAATGAAACCCTCAGAAGCCTTCTCCTGTGATGAGAAGTGAGAGAACATCAAGTAGGTGGGGTAAGGGGCGAGAAAAGCACAGCAACCGAGCATCTGGCAAGTCCAGATGTTGAAAGAATTTTACAGCTGCTAGTGCCTGGAGGTAGGGCCAAGGTGGACCCCAGCACCTGGCCTTAGGAAACAGGTGCTGCGGAGGGGCAAGCCAGTGCCACTAGGTGGCTGGGGAGAGGGGCCACTCTCCACCGAAAGGGAACAGGCAAAGAAAGCATTCAAGGATGTCTGACCGTGAATTCAGCAGCTTACAAAGTACGAGCATTAAATTCTGCATATAAAATCTAAAGTCAAGGTGAAGGGTTTTTCATGGGAACATGGGACTTGCAGATTAACAACGTTTGGATTTCACCTCATGTGCGGCAGAAAATGCTTTCTTTCAAAGAAAAATGTTGACACGCAAATATGCCTCCAATATGTATCTTTCCGATTTAGAAACGGAATCTGTGGCGAATGTGCAGCTGTTGACTTGAAAGAAGGGAGGATTACTTTGGATAAAAGAAAAAATTTAAATGACTTCTAGCTTCTGGCTTGATCTAGATATGGAATTATGGCTCTAAATTATAAACTCAGGCTTAAACCTCTGTAGGAAAAAATACAGACATCTCTCAAATATAAATATTGCTTTACTCTAACTGGTAATCAAAACATACAGCTAAAAAGAGCACTGTCAACTCTATAGTCTACAATGCGTCATGTTGCACACAGACGGTCAGAGCAGCTAGCATGGCCCATCCGTGGTCTGCCCTTACTCTACCAGAGGAAAGTATCAAAGCTTATACATTCACATTCTAACCTCAACTGAGGTGTTCTTTGTCCCGATCAGTAAACAAAATCAAAATCTCAGACTTTCATTTCTTAAGTTATGCCTTTCACAAACATGAATATGGAATGGCTGCTTTTTTAATTGTAAAAATGACGAAATGTCCATTTATTTGATGCTTAGGTGCTGATGAACTGAACAATCTTAAAGAGATGAGCCCCTCCACCCACCCAGAGAGTGCGTTCCTGGGACCAAGACTCTCAGACCAGAGTAACAATGCAAGGAGACAGCTCACAATTTTTAAAGTGTCGTTTGTATCTCCTTAAACCAAACCAAACTCACTGCTGCCAAGTCGATTTGACTCATAGCAACCATTCCTTGGGTTTCCAAGATGGTATCACTACGGAAGTAGATTGCCCAATCTTTCTTTCAAGGAGTGGCTGGTGGATTTGAACGCCAGCCTCCTGGTTAGTAGTCAAATGCCTCAGGCACTAATGTAAATCAAACACAAAGTCACGGCTTTGTCAATATTACACATTTTCTTCATGGAAATATATTTTAAAGTAAAAAAAAATAGCACTGATGTATTACTTTCTAGGGACTAAATTGTACACAAGCTTAAGCCACTTCTATAGTGGTTACAGGAGCTCTGGTGGCGTGGTGGATAAGGCATTTGGCTGCTAACCAGAAGGTCAGTGGTTCAAACCCACCAGCCACTCCATGGAAGAAAGATGGGGCAATCTACTTATGTAAAGATTTATAGTCTTGGAAACCTGGCAGGGGTCACTATAAGTTAGAATCAACTTGGTGGCAGTGAGTTTACAGTGGTTACCAGGGGCTCTGGTGGCACAGTGCCTGAGAAGGTTGGTGGTTCAAACCCACCAGCCACTCTGCAGGAGGAAGATGGGGCAATCTACTTCCATAAAGATTTAGTGCCTTGGAAACCCAATGGAGGTCACTATGAGTCAGAATTGACTGGATGGCAGTAGGTTTGGTTTGGTTTTTTCAATTGTGCTTACACTTTTAATAGAGACCTAGATCACTGTGAAGCCAATATTGCCTAAGATGAAATATGGGCGTTTAGGGTCTGTTTACATAACTCTCAAGATCTGACAAAAAGTAAGAGTAAGAACTTCATAAACAGAGTCTTTCATTACAAATACCTCAGTATCTGCTGTCATGTAGGAATGACATCCAGATGGTTCACGAAATGTTTCTATTCTTTATCTAGGAGCCTGAAAAATTGGTTTTGAATATCATCTAAAGTAATGGCTCTGACTGTTCAAACGTCAGATCCAGAAACAAATTTTAAGAAGAGACACAATGAATAAAAACATACAGAACTGGGTTTGAGTCCTAACTGGGTTGAAGAGGAGACAGGCAATTTAGAAGAAGTCCCGTGACTCCTCTGAGCTTTGATTCTCCTGACTGAACTTGGAGAATCATTTCACATCCACTCTGGAAGGACAGTGTGAGGGCTGAATGAGTCAATTCTGGTCAAGGTCTTTGAACTCAGATGAAAGACATTTTCAAAGCATAATTATTATAATAAATGTGCGGCACTGGCAAGAATCTAAAGTGATAGACTTGTCTTAGATAATTATCCCAGAAAACTCCGGAACAAAGACCCACACATACCTGAAGTTGCATCTCAGCAGCGGCACAGACCTTCTTCGACTCACAGAGGCGAGACACCATATTTTTTGGCAGTGGCTTGGGAAACAAAAGAACATGAGTGAATCTCTTAATAAGTCATCACACTGCACAACACACTCAGGAGTCAGGAAATGTAACATCAAATAAAAAACAAAAAATAGAACCTAATTATAGTTCCAAAAATAATGATCACTTTTAACTACTTTGGTAGACAAGACAACAGGGATGAAGACATTTCATTTAATTTCAAAAAGTGGTGACTTGTCAAATAATACATGAAAATACAAGATTGTAGGGAACTAAGACATTGACACTGATATTTTTAAATCTACTTAAGACTTTGAAGTGCACATGTTTTCTGTTCCTTTGTTACCAAAGAATGCCTGCTCAGTTGCTCACTTCACTGTTAAGTACAGACAATAACTAATGATCGGGCTAACAGATTAATGTTAAGAAATAAGCTATACTTCACCAAGGAGGATATTCAAGCAGCCAACAAACATATGAAGAAATGCTCACAATCATTAGCTATTAGAGAGATGCAAATCAAAACAACAATGAGATACCATCTTGCTCCAGCACTAGTAGCTAAGTTCAACAAGACAGAAAATAACAAATGCTGGCGAGGTTGTGGAGAGATTGGGACTCTCATACACTGCTGGTGGGACTGTAAAATGGTACAACCATTGTGGAAAGCAGTATGGTGATTCCTTCATAAGTTGGAATTAGAAATACCATTTGACCCAGCCATCCCATTACTAGGTATATACCCTAAAGAAGTGAGAGCCATAACAAGAACAGATATAGGCACACCCATGTTCATCGCAGCACTATTTACAATAGCCAAAACATGGAAACAACCTAGATGTCCATCAACTGAGGAATGGATAACCAAACTATGGTACATACACACAATGGAATACTATGCAATGCTAAAGAATAATGTAGAATGTGCAAAACACCGCATAACATGGATGAACTTGGAGGACATTATGCTGAGTGAAATAAGTCAATCACAAAAGGACAAATATTGTATTAGTCCATTATTGTAAAAGTTAAGGAAAGGTTTATCTATTGAAGGAAATTTTCTTTGTTGGTTACCAGTGGTGGGAGGGGAGGGGAGGGACTGCTGTTAGATAGATAGTGATAAATGTTGATTTGGGTGAAGAGAAAGGCAACGTACCAAATGTGAGTGACCAATATGGCAGCATTGAGGATGAGAAAGACATAGAGAGGTACATGGGAAGTACAGACAACAAATATGAACCCTTTTGCATATACAGTACTGAGTTCTCAGTGAAGGCAAACATGGGTATATGGATGGATAGCTAGGTGGACAGGCTAAACGATTAGGTATGTCTATGAAAGAGGGAGTGTATCCAAGATCATATATAGGGTTGGCAGACAATGGTCCTGTAAGTTTATGTGAATGATCAGAATCCCCAGGTGTATAGTAGAGCTGACAAGGGGCTAGGTTGTGGTCACTGCTTGGTCACAGCCAGCTACCCAGAGCAACCGAGTAGTTGATCCTGCGGGCTTGGGACCATAGTCGCAGGGGACATCAAGCTCAATTGGCATAACATACTATATACAAAACATTGTTCCACCTCCTACTTTGGTGAGTAGTGACTGGGATCTTAAAAGCTAGCAAGCTGCCATCTACATGCAACAATGGGTCTCTCCTCGTCAAGAGCAAAGAAGAAAGAAGAAAACCAAAATTAATGGAAACAATCAGTCCTCGCGACTGGTACACCTTCCAATCTGCAACCTATACAACTATGAGACCAGAAGAACTAGATGGTGCCCAGCTACCACTGTCATCCACTTGGAAGGGATGTAAGAGATCCTGGATAGAGAGGGAGAACAATGTGGAACAAAACTCAAAATCATTTGGAGGGGAAAAAAAAAAGATGGTTGAGAACAGGTTTGCTGGTCCAATAGAACCTGGTGGAACCACTGAGACTATGGCCCCTAGCTGCCTTTCAGGTCTGGAATTGAACCCACACCTGTGGTTTCCAGCCAAAAAAAGTACAGGCATGTGAGTTAAACATTTACCTCAAGTAGACACACGCCCTGGAGAGAACAATCATGAGAGAAGGAAGGGCTGCTTAATCACAGGGAGACAGCTCAGGGGGCAGGAGAGTATGGAGGGATGGACACTGGGAAGAGGTAACCATGGGGAGGAAGTGGGAGGGGAGCTATTGCATTGTGGTACACTGTGGTCAATGACATGAGACAAAGTATATGTGAACTGCTGTATGGAAAGTGAATTTGCTCTGTAAATCTTCAATCTCCAAATCACAATAAAAAAAAAAAAAAAGAAAAGAAATAAGCCATAATTCATGGTACCTGCCAGGATTAGGAGCTCTGCTGGCACTGTGGGTTGTGCATTTGGCTGTTAACCAGAAGCTCCATGGTTCAAACCCACCAGCTATTCCTCAGGACGAAGATGAGGCAATCTACTCTGTAAAGATTTGCAGCCTTGGAAACCCTACAAGGGTTGCTATGAGTTGGAATCGAGTCACTCAGTGGCAGTGGGTTTAGTTTTAGGTTAGCCAGTAGTAAAGCTGAAGTGACAGCTCAACAAATAACCAGGGTAATTAACTGCATAGTCTCTTACTTTTTAACCTGTAAGAACTGCAGTCCTTATATACCAAGGACCTCTGGTGGGGCAGTGGTTAAGGCACTTGGCTGCTGATCAAAAGGTTGGTGGTTTGAAACTACTAGCTGCTCTGCAGAAGAAAGAAGAGGCAGGCTGCTTCCATAAAGATTTATAGCTTTAGAAACCCAATGGGGGTCACTATGAGTTGGAATTGGCTCAATGGCAGTGAATCTGAGTTTGGTACACTAAGTCTAATGTCCCTATACGATGAATTAATCGCTAATTAGGTCTAATCCTATAATATCAAATATCCTCATAGAAATAAACCAACAATGTATTTGAAGAAGAACTTTACCTAATCTCACCGTACTTTTAAAATCATTAATACTGATGTTTAGTGAAAAAACAATTACTTCCTCCATTCTATTTACCATCTAAGTTAAACCACAAACCAAACCAGTTGCCAGCGAGTCAGTTCTGAGCCCCGGCCGCCACAGGTGTGTCAGAGCAGAACTGTGCTCCATGGGGCTGTTGATGGCTGATTTTCTGAAAGCAGATCACTAGGCCTTTCTTCCTAAAGTTCCCTAAAGATAAACACTGCAAGTTACTCTACACTGCGGTGTACAAATCAACCACAACGGATGCCAACGAGAGCTGTGTGCTGGACGGGGAGGATTCACAATGCCAGCCCTGGGGACTGGAACAGCTGCTGGCACCCAGCAGGCACCCAGGAGTGTTTGCGGAATGAATGAATGAATACAGGAACAATGGTTAGGAGATGCTTATAAGCTAGACTATACAAGGACTGGACAGAGGCTCAGAGACCAAACCTGGTGTCCTTTCTTTTCTCTTTCCGGGTGACTATAAGAAAAGCAAACCAGGCCGAAAAGGCATGAAGTGAAGGTCATCAAATGTAAATCCCACGACAGGCCAAGAGACAAAGACCTTCTGACGATGGAGGTGCCAATCAGCAATGAGAGAAAAACTTCCTTAAACAGAACTTTGAAAAGTCAAGATTTAGTTAAGTGGTATCTGCCAAGAGCGCATCTCAAAATGTTCAGATGTCTTCAGATTTACTCTACCTTCTTCTTTATGTGGACAAAAGCCAAAACTCATTGCCATCGAGTCAATTCTGACTCACAGCACCACTAGAGGACAGAGTAGAGTTTCCAAGGCTGTCAGTCTTTACAGAAGCAAAGCCCCAACCAAACCCACTGCCACTGAGTGGATTCCAACTCACAGCGCCCCTAGAGGACAGAGTGGAACTGCTCTATAGGGTTTCCAAGGCTGTCAATCTTTACACAAGCAGAATGCCTCATCTTTCTCCTAAGGAGTGGCTATTGGGTTTGAACTGCTAACCTTCTGGTTAGTGGTCAAGCGCTTAACCACTACACCACTGGGGCTCTTCTCTATGTGGACAGGATTGTCAATATCCGTAGGAGGTTTGTTCAACTTTTGAAATACCTTGATAACTTTATTTTGACAAAAACGTTTTCATTTACCCAACACACAATATGACTTCTGTGGGCAAGCCCTGTATTAAACACTAGGGATATAAAATGGTGGACAGACAGACAGGGTAGTGCTTGCCCCTAAGAGAGTTAAGCCCAGCCTTAGCCACATGATCACCGGCATGAAAAAGAGGAGCAAACCATCAATCATGAGCACTAAGCAGAAAGTGGGGAAGGGCTGCATGGGGGCAGTGACCTAGGAAGGAAATAACCAAGAAGTAAGTTTTGCAAAATGAGTGTGCACTAACCAGACAAGGGAGAAGGAGCCTTGGTGGGATGGTGGTTAAATGCTCAGTTACGAACCGTGAAGTGGGCAGTTCGAACCCATTGGCTACTCTATGGGAGAAAGATGAGGCAGTCTGCTCCCATAGAGACTACAGCCTCATAAACCCTATGGGACAGTTCTGCTCTGTCCAACAGGGCGGCTGTGAGTTGGAATCGAACCCACAGCAGCAGGTTTGGTTTCTTTCGATTTAGACAAGGAAGGATGGCAGGCAGGAGAAGGCAGCATTTCAAGCAGAAGAACCAGCATGGACAAAGGCACAAAAGGCCAGGCTGTCCGCAGGAGCTGGAAGGGCGGTGGGAAGAAGGCAGACAGGCGGCTGCAGGAGCAGGCTGGAGCCAGATCATGTAAGGCCTTGGTGATGGGCAACGGGGGGCACTTGCCCCCAGCCCTATACTGATGGTATGCCCAAAAAACCAAGCACACCAGAGCCTGCCAAGCCAGTCCACCTCACGGTGACCTCCTGTGTGCACAGTACAACCATCTGACAGGGTTTGCATGGTTGTGACCATTTGGCAGCAGACAGACAGGCCTTTCCCTGACGCCCCTCTGGGTGGACTTGAACCTCCAACCTTTGTGTTAGTAGGGAAGCCCTTGACCAGTTGTGCCACCAGGGCCTCCAGATGGTAAGTATGAGGTACAGAAAGTAATCTGGCCTTTT